ATTTCCATTTCCCATGAATTTGTTTTTCTGCAAAACTGCTTATCTCTTCAAAGCTTTTAATTCATCAGCATTATTATCATTTAAAAAACTGCACTATGTCTCAGCACATCCACTTTCTCACTTTTATTAATATCTTTTATGATTCTGTTCTGTTGCTTTATATGCAAATTTTTTACCAGCTAAGTGTATGACTACCCAAACTAATTATTACTTGCTATTTGCTTTGCATAATTTTTCTTACTTTTGTGTTCAGGATGCATATTTCCTTGTGACTTAAGGAACACTTTTAGAATTACATTATTAAGTCCAATCTAGAATATTTTATTTTATATTTAATAACTTACATTTAATATTTAAATTTTATCTTGATAACCCACTAGATTGTAACTTAGAAACATGTTCTGCTCTTCTAATGGTTACCATTATAATTTTATATTCAGTATGTTTTATTTTGAATGATACACATTCACCATTTTCCACCAAATCTTGTGCTTATTGTTGGTCCTACTTTCAATCTTTGTTTGCTTAACTACATTATTTTAATTATGTTCTCCTTTAAAACCTGGGAGTTTCCTAACTTCAGAATAATATTTCACTTGAATAAACAATAACAATCAAATTTATTTAAAGTCAGAAAATTGAGGCTTTAATTTAACCATTTTCCTGTTGATTTCAAAAGATCTGCTACTAATTTACCTATTATTTGCTATAGGTTTTCTTTCCATATAAAGCATGACTGCCACTAATACAGTCTCTTTGCTTTGACATTCTGATTTGTAAAGGTGTTACCTGACTTTTATATACTCTGCTTTGAGTGTATGAAGCCTCACCCGAGGATTCATTTTTTAATTATTGAAGCAGGACTGGACTAGTTTTGACAAAAGAATGTACAGACTACAAAACCAGAATTAATGACTGCTGGCCTTTCACAGAAAAAAATTTGTCACCATCTAAACTATATTTTACTTTTATATTGTTACTTTTACATATATGCCATATTTAGACAACTATGAGTTCCTTCTCCACTGATTCTTGAGCATTACATGTTTATCCTTCTTGGAGTTAAAAGATAGCTTTAACAGGTTTTGTTTGGCTTTACTTTTATTTTTGGCAATGCTAGAGATCCAACTCAGGAATTGTAGATTACTGAAGCAGTATACATCACCAGCACTATAGTTTTTCATGCTAAACAGGGGAAACCTTCTTCAAATGGCTAGAAAGCACAGACTTTGGAGCTCTCCCCACCACCTAGGCTTTTAAGTGCCTCAACAGAGCAGCTGAACTCATCCTCCATGGGGGACGTTAGGATGGATGGGAGATTGAAATTCATATGTAGTCTTCGGGGCTTCCCAATTGATTATGAAACTTCCTCCTTCTCCCTTTTCAGGGCTGGGTGTGGTACTTGAGTTTATGGCCAGATAGCTCAGCTATCTAGGACTCTCTGAGATGCCATCTGTTGAATCTCTCAACTTCCTCTGCTTTGTGCAGGCAAAGATTTCTGTCATATCATCCAGAGTTGCCTATCTCACTATCTATCTGCTATGCCCCAATTTCAGACCAAGGTTTGAAGGTCCTTCCGTTCTGATCAAGAACTCTTCTGTGGCAGATAGCTTGGGTGCTGTGTGGCTTTTTAACATTTTCTGTATATAACACTATCATGTATTAGGCATGGTGAATACTGTATATCATAAATGTACATGCTACACAGTCTGGAAAGTATAAACAGTTTAGTTTCATGAAAAATACATGGCTTAGTGACATAAGAGAGCAAGACAGTATAGGTTAACAAATGGATAGGTAGGAGATTTAGCTCAGTGGCGTAAGTACCTGCCTTGCAAGCATGCAGTCATGAGTTTGAACCCTGGTACCAAAAATAAAACCAAAAAAACCCCACAAAAACTCAACTTCAAAAAATGAGTAGGTAGCCATTGAATTAAAATACATGTATGAAGCTTCCAGGAGTCAGGAACGATGTCCTAGAACAAAAGATGAAATAAACATGGTATCACCTTTAAGGTGTTCACAATCCATCTTGCAATTTCCCTTCTTCTGTGGCTTACATATCACCTTACAAAACCTGGTGGGGTTGGTCTTTATTTGCATTATTAGTACTATTGCTGTTTTTGAGACAAAGTCTTGCCACATAGTCCAGGCTGGCCTTGAACTTGCAGCAATCCTCCTGCCTCAGCCTGCCAAGTGCTGGCATTACAGATGTGCACCACCCTTCCAACTTTATTTTCATTTTTATAGAAATGAAAACAGAAGGTTTTTAATTCCCAAATCTTTAAGGCTAGAGTTTTCCTTTCCAACTATATCAGTAGTCCTCAAAAAATTTCCCCTCTTACTCTTGCATAGGACAAACTTCAAATGTTGGAAGAAGCTTAAAATCTACTATTATCTTGAGAATTCATGTTTACTTCTTAATGAGTCAAACTGAATGTGAGAAAACGAGTTCTATCCATTTGAAGTCTGTGAGGGCTCTTAGCACAGGGACTCCTCATCAGAGGGGACAGACACATCACTGCACTCTGGCCTTTACTTAGGCACTCTGGGCTTGGTTTAAATTTTCAACTATAAATTTGGGTAACTTCATTGTCCCCAACCCACCCTCAAGCTTCTTCGTGGCTTTTCACCCCTATCAGGTGGGAGACTGAACACAGGGCTTCATACATGCTAGGAAAGCACTCCTCCAATTAGCTATACATCCCAGACCTTTTTATTTTGAGACAGAGTCTGGCTATTCTGTTCAGGCTGGCCTAGAATTTGGAATCCTCTTGGCCTCAGCCTTGCAGAGCATTGATACTGTACTAAAGCACTCACTCTACTCACAACTGCTGAGTAGTGGGGGTTGACCCTTTCCTTCCTGAAAGGAAGTTTTATTCTGGTGGTACCACTTGGGAGCCCTGTTATTATAGATGGGACCCAAGAAGGCCCAACAGGGTGCCTGGCAGCACCAATGCTAGAAGGGCATCTCAGGTTGCAGCTCAACTGAGCCCTCTTCTGGCTACTGGGGCAAGGTGGCTGTTTACTAAACAAGGGCAACAAAAGGTGCACTTGGGAAGCCAGCCTGTGTGACACCCAGTTGTAAACTTTTTAAAAGACATCTTGGTTCTCAATGTCTTTTCCTTAAGGACTTTAGCAGATCTCAGTCACTCCTTCAGTGAGTTGTCAGCAGTCTAAGGGTGTTACTTGCCCTTGTTGGACAACGTGAAGCCACTGTTCTCTCCTGGCAGGACAAAGTATTAGAGCCAGGGGGAATTTGTGACTTTTCCACCTCTTTACTTCCTTGTGTTCTCCACGGACACAGAGTTGACAAACACATTCATGACTTTCTATGTAATCCTAGTTATACCACAGGCTGTGGAATTAAACTTGCAGGATTCTGATATTCCATCTCACATTTAGTAACACTGTAACCATTCAGCCACTCTAAATCTCATCTGTAAAACAGGAAGTGTAATATTATCTAAGTTATATAATTTTATGAAAATATAACTGATAATATATGGAAAGTGCTAGCCTAGAGTTCTGAAAGTGTTCCACAAGTACTAGCTATTTTTATTCTTCTTCCAAGCTAATGTCTACTGTACAGCAGGTCTATTGATTAGGTCCAGAAAAAATAGTCTTTTCATAGGACACCAAGGCATATATATATATTTTGAATTTTAGTACCAGCTGTAGTTTTATAAAGTGGCCAAGCTAATCATGACCTTGGGCTATAAAAAAGGAACTTATGATATCCATGCAATGAGGATCTGAAGTGCATGGAATGTAAAAGGCTTGGACCCTCATAAGTTTGCACACTATCATTCTCCCTTACCTTCCACCTGCTAAAGTGCAAGCACACAGAGAGAGCCTGTGAACCAGGGCCCAAGCACAGGTCAATGGCAGGGAATTGTATGGAACACGAAAGTCCAGGCAGACTCACTGCTCATGAGGAATCTGAAAGGTGGCAGAATTTCACAGCTCAAAGCCCATGCACAGCCAGAAAGTGACCAGAAATGCAGACAGGTATAAGCCTGACCAAGGCTGTCAAGAAACCTAAAGCCAGTAAGAGTGGTTGGGCAGCTGTTCACAGAGGGCAAGAAGCCTTGGTTGCCATCTTCTATGCCTGCAGACCAGCCTCACCTAGAAAGGCCAATTCTGCTCCTAAAGGGAACAGAGTCGTTTGTCGCGGGTGGTCATACTCTCAAGAGGCTTATGAGTGTGTGTGTGTGTGTGTGTGTGTGTGTGACCATCAGTGTCCTGGTTCTAACTGGCACCTTGCTGGCTGTCTTCAGCTTTCTTGTTGCATTTCACGTTTCTTTCAGCGGTGGGCTAGCATGTGGCAAGAGGAACTGTATGTAGAGCCTGGGCTGGTGGGAACAGTGCATACAAGAGGGAAGCTACTGGAGGGGCTTGGTGGGGATAAAGAAGAGAGTGAATACCTGGAGCCCGGCAGATGAAGTTGCACATGGGTGAGGGTGAATATAGTGGATGCACTCATGCAGAGGGTGAATGGAGAGGATATGAGTAGGGGGGATGGAGGAAGATGACCTCGCATGGAACACGGTGGAGAGATGCATGTGTGGCGCCAGAGAGACGATGCGCTGGTGTGCAAGGTGGCTGAAGGTGCATGGGTGGGGGACGAGAAAGATAAACTCGCGTGAAGGTAGGTGGAGAGACGCGTGGGTCGGGGCACGGAGGATGCGCGCCCATGGAGGGCAGCTGAAAGGTGCACCGGGTCGGACAGGCGCGCGCCTGGAGGGCGGGGAACAGGACGCAGAGGGCCTAGAGTGGATGCGCTAGTGCGCAGGAAGCCCTATGGAGACCGCGCTGATTGGCGCCCGCTCTCACAGGCGATGACGAGGGCTGGGATTGGACAGCCTCGGTGGGGCAAATCCGGAGGGTTCTAAGCGCCCGGCTGAGGGGATCCGACCCAGGTTCCACTGCCGAGCCTCTACGGCCAGCTGTGTCGTGGTCGGCTCCTGGTGCTCCAGCCGGGCGGTCCCGGTCCTCACCTGCCCGCCTGCCCGCCAGGCACATGCGGAAACAACCCGCCCCGGGGGGAAGGGCGACCCCGCTTCCTCTCGCTTCGCCGCCGTGGAGACCCCAGAGCCGCTCCACGCCGCAAGCCGTTACCCGGCGTCTCCGCCCCTCACGCAGCCCCGCCGCCGCCGTCCGCCCGCGGGCGCGTCCCGCCGTCCCGGGCCGCACTGCGGCTGCGCACAGGTCGCGCCCGGCAGCGATGGCTGAAGAGCCGACCGCGGCAGTCTGACGCCGCCCGCAGCCTGCCCCCGGCCCGGCGGGGCCCGGCCCGTCTCCACCCGGGCCGCGCTAGTGCCCGCGCTGCCAGGGCCAGAGGCCAGCGCGCTGCAGGGCAAGACCCAGAACTCCACCCGGTGAGTCCCGGAGGCGGCGGGGCGGGGGCGGGGGCGGGGCCCGGACGCCGGCAACCGACTGGGCGTTGAGCCGTGTGTGTGGTGGGGGGGCGTGTGTTCCAGGATCTGCAGGGGACTTGGGAGGGGGGGGTCCTTGGCTCGGGGAGGGCCAGGTGCGTCCGCCTGGTTCCAGCCGCAGACGCTGCCACCCCCTCTTCAATTAGGGTGCAGACAAACAAGGTATTGTTTTTCATTTAGTGTAAGACGAATGTGGGTCAAAATTAAGCCTGTTGCATGATGCCACCGCGAATTTGGAACTGGGAATATGTGGTTGGTTTCTCCTTGATATGGTCGCAAGGGAAGAAGAGGGGTGGATTTTCTCCAAATGTACAATGTGACAAAATTGTACATATATATATGCGGCACAAAACCCAGTGTGTCTATTTCTTTCAGTTGTAATTAGCTACCAGTAGTAAATTTTCCTACCAGAGAGCTTTTTGCACGGATTATGAAGAAAGTACTTCTTTAATTTACAATATATTTAAGGTGCTACTTTACTGTGGAAAGTTATATTTTAATTAAAAATAAGGAATCACGTGTCTCGTCTCGTGTAATTTTTAAAAAGAAACAATAGATGAAACACCCTGTTATTCCTGTATTGTAGGAGAATTTCCAGCACTTCAGCATTAAATTGAACTCTTAAAGACTGGTGGCAGTCTTATAATTAAATATGCTGACACCATCATCTGTTAGAGCCAGTGTAGTTATTCTTCATACATGAACTTACATTGCTTTGTAGGATTCTTCATTACCTGACATTTTTAAAAAGTGTAGCTCTGTTTTTAAAATAGCAATATTTGGAATTTGGTCTGAGATTCCTTTTAATACAAGCTTAAAAATAAAATTTAATTGTGAAATTAAAAATAACCTTGTCTTGTAAAATCTTGCAGGCCCATCATTGGACATAACTACTTAAATACTGAAACTACGTTTATATTACAATTAAAAAAGAAACGTATCATAAACCAGATGTTATTGCATGTGCAGTATTTACACATTTAAAAATAGTGACAGTTTTAAAATGTAGTATTAAAACTGTTATATAGTAATTTCCATTGTTTTTCTGGCATGCAACCACTTTATATGAAGTGAGTGAGTGTAGGTTTTACTATTTTCATACTACACATACCTGACAGTTAAATATCTTGCTTTCAGTTTTAATTTTAAAATGAGAATATTTTGGCTTTGACAATAATCATGTGGGAATTTGACTAGGTTAGATATATTCAAATGGTGTGTGAGAGAGAAAAAAGAAAATAGGCTTTATTATTCATTGGATACCCTGAACCCTTTTTAAAGCTAAAATTTAAGTAAAGAGATGATTCCTTTTCTATTTACCATCTAGGTTTCTGCAAAAACAAGATTTTTTTTTTTACCCCATATAGTGTAATAGTTTAGTGTCCCTGAAATCATAATTAAATTGAATGAAACACTTTGGTTTTTATATTGAGACAACATTCAGTTAAAGTACTAAACCTTTTAAGAAAGGCAAATTTTAGAATTTGTATTGATAACTTGTATTTTAATTTATATGAGAACAATAAGGGATTGTTGAACTTGGAACCCAGGCTGGCCTAGTGCTTGTGGGTGGTGTTTCTCCTACCTCAGCCTCCTGAGTGCTGGAATTATAGACTTGTGCCTCCACACCCAGTTTTCTTAAAATAGTCCTATAAAATGAATATTCTTTCTACCCATCTTAAAGAACGATGAACTGGGAACAGGGAAGCTACAAAATTGCTGTATTTGTTATCAGAGCCTAGAAGCAGAGTTCCTTGTCTTTATTTAACCATGAGAGACAGTGGTGGTGAACTTAAGGCACATGTGCCAAAGCAGGCTGCTTGTATCATTGACAACTCTAAAAGGTTTGCTATCACCTTAGGGTAAAGCATACATCCTTTCAAGTCTGGTATGTTTCATATTTAGGATTATCTAAGGATTTTGCATGTGGCACATTTTGATGTTTTCTAAATTTGAATTCAGACCAAGTTGAATAATTCTGTTTTACTGTCTCATTAATTGTGATGGCAGCAACCTAGTGCTTCACCAACAAATAACCCGACTTAATAGTAGTTACCATAGTGTCTGTATTTTTCCTTGAAATATTTGAATATAATTTCATATACTATAGCTTCAAATATTTCCATGCTAAAACAGTCATGCTTTGACCTGTATTGTTATGTTGTTATGTCCTCTTCTATCTCCCTTATTCATTAAAACAATTATTTAGTTATTTTTTATGTTTTTTTTAATTAAGGGGAAAAATTAAATATTAGGAGGATATATTATAGTAACTTTTTTTGATTTCCTATTAACTTGTTTTGAAGTCCTGTAATACTCCCACTATCTTGTTTTGACTGATTAGACTCTATTCCATTCTGTATGATAGTATCAAGTTTGAGGGTATAGGCAACTACTTTGAAGGCAATAAGATTCACTAAGATGCCCATTCTGGTTTGATTATTATCTCCTTTGGAATTCCTGTAATGTTTACAATGTTTAAGTTTTATTGGTCTTGTTCTCTACTGTTTTGTTCAACTTTATAATACCTAATGAGATAGATAATTCTTTTTAAGGAAACAAGAGGCATTATGGTAACCATTGTTGATAACCTTGTACTCTGTTTTACATCATGTGCTATGTCTATCCTTGGTTTTGACTGACAGCTTTGTTTTGCCATATTTGACTTTATCATCTTCCAAAAAAAAAGTAATAAGAACTAAGGAGTAATAAAACCCAGAATGTGTTAATTTTGTTGTAAAAAAGAGAAGGGAAAAAAAGTGCTCTAAAGGATACAACAGCAAGTGTGTTTAGGGGTGTTAAATAGCTGACCATATTAATGTTTTTGGTTGGATCATTGAACACAACTGCAGTCTTTCTGTTTGAATGTTCACTTTGTATGCTTTGATACTGTGACTTGAGCAACTATATGATAATAATGAGTAATCTATTAACTGGTGATATCTTACTGGTTTTTTTTTTTTTTTTTTTTTTTTTTTTTTTTTGTAGTTCTGTATTACTTGTACCTTTATACCGGTTTGTTTTGTTTTGTTTTTTCTCTTTTTCCTTTTAAATAAAATTTTAAAAACATTGTGATGGCAGTAAACATGACATTAGGTGATTCATATCATTTCTACCTTAGAACAGTGAGCAGAGTATGGTGATTATAAGATTTACATAAGAATACTGTATTGATTCTGATTTTTTGTCTTCTGTCATAAGATTTAGTAGTTCAGTTTTGTCCTGGGATCATGCAGTTTGCTAACTTTGAGAAGCAGTTATTTCACCTACTGCAGTGTGAAAATAGTTACTTTTAGGCAGATAACTTTGACTTTAACCATAAACCCATGATCTTCCCCTTGTTGGTGCTTTTTGCTTCTCTGGATCATACTCAGTTGTGATAGTTGTGTTCCTGCAAGTGTTTCTGGTTTCAGAAAGAAGGCAATTCCTTGCTTTCCTGTATTTTGAAACATAAGATTATCTTACTAAAGTTCAATGCTATTTTTGCAGGACTATTTTGAACCCAAGGCCTTCCCACAGAGCTACATGCCCAGCCCTATCTATACACAAGCCTGTATTCTCAAGGCTTGAATATCCAGTGACCTGCCTCAGCCTCCCTTATTACAGGGATTACAGGCCTGGCCATTGAAGCGATTTCAAGTTTATTGGTTTTCTGGTTTTGTTTAGGTAATTGTATGTATATGTACACATAATGGACAAGTATACTCCTTCCAGTGTTAAGTAATTTAGATAATGGTGTGCACAGAACACCATGCTTTGGCTTCTATCTCACCACTGGATTTAGTATTAAGTACTAAAGTGTTAAGTATTGAGTATTAAGGCACAAAATGACCTTTAGAGTGGCAGGAAGGATGGAAGAGAAAAATAAACTTTGAATTAAAATTATATCTTACTGCTTTTTTTTGGATAAGAGTCTCACTATGCAGTTCAGGCTGGCCTTGAGCTCACTTTGTAGCTTAGGCTGGTGTGGAACTTGAAACGGTCCTCCTTCCTCAGCCTCCCAAGTGCTAGGATTACATACCACACCTGGCTATCATACTGCTTTTAATTAAAGTTGCACAAATAATTATAATAAGTATTGTCATTTACTCAAATAAGAACAGTATGTAAGTACTCACTGGAGGATCTACTATATACAAAGTATAGCACTGTGCTAAAGACAGGCATTTGAGGAATGTCACTGTAATGTTAACCTGTAACCTTAATGTAAGTGAAAATATTGTGTAAAAATTCTCTTTTATTTATTTATTTTGGTACTGTGATCTTGCACTTAGCAGGTAAGCGCTTGAGCTGCTAAACTAAATCCCTGGCCACTAAAACTTCTCTTTTAATCAGAGGACCAGGGCAAGAAATAATAAAATGAGAATCTTGTAGTAAATGACCGTACAAGTTCCTTTCACTTAAATTTCTGTGAGAGTTACTAAATTGATTTTGACAGTAATAGTAAAACATTCCATAAGCACAATGATGAACTAATAAAATTATCTCAAGAACAAGTGGACAGATTATTACAAATTGTCAGCAGTTCCTTGGGTGTTAGCTCAGGACTATTTGAAAGTATTACTATTTTTGTTGTGTTGTGCTAGAATCTTGTTAGGTGACATTAAATGTGTAAATACTGAACATGTGTTCGAAGAGCTGTTTATTATACAGAAACATGCTAGGTAAGCTCTGTGATGATCCTGGTTGTTAAGATCACTAGCTGACCATAATGGATATTTGTGTGCTGTTTTTGCTTGGCTTTTTAAAAAGAAGTGCTTATAAGCACTGCTCATAGGAGCTTTTTTCAGAAACAATGCAATAGGATTGTGAGGCAGTGGTGAATGTCACATTGTAAATTAGACTACTTAATTAAGAAAGGTATGTGTTGTCAGAATAATTCAATGTGGTGTTGAACCCTACAACTATGTCTTTTCATCTAGGATAAACATTTTAATGAATAA